GGATCAATTTGGGTTTAAACCAATCATATTAAAATAATATTTCTTTACTCTTTAATATAAGACCTATTTTATAATACAACAATTTGTACTATAAAATGGGTCTTATATTGAGGATCGGAAGGAGTATAATTAATTGAAAATAACAAAATACAACAATATTCATAGTTACTAATAATAAAATATAATAATAGTTTGATTGTAATAATAATAAAGTAAAACAATATTAAAAATATAAATCTTTACGATTCTTCAATAACTAAAATTTATAATCATTGACACATTCAAACCTATAGTAACTAAGATATTAGAAGAAAATAAGAAAAAAAATATAATCAATAGCAATATAATCATTTAAACCGATTCACCTCTAATTTTTATTGGTTTTAACTGAGTGGATACTAGTTTAATGACTGGTTTAATGCTTAAATTAGATCGGACCACAGGCTAGTTAGTCTGGTCTTGTCCATCATTTTTTTCTTGTTTAGAACTCACATTCCTTGATAGAAGAGGAACTTGCTCTGTAGTCTCATTTTTCCTTAGGCTTTGTAATACAGTCATTGGATCTTTTGACACCTTTGCTTAATTGCTTTGCCATCTGTTGTTTGATTGTTCGCACTATCCTTTACCTTCACTTCAGGGTGTGTTTGGTTGGAAGGCAGGATGTGGGAGTGGAAGAAAAATAAACCCCTCTTCTCATTTGGTTTGAATTTTTGAAGAGGAGGTTAGCTAAAATCTCTCATCTCCTCCCCTGCCTCCACCCCCATTTTGGCTTCCCTCCAAATTGGGATTTTTTAGAGGGAAGCCAAAATTCTAGACCATTTTACCCTCACATTTTATTGTAACATTTTATAGATACCCATAAAATATATTATTATAAGATTTATTTCAAATAAAAATATATTATCATAACAAAAAATTAAAAAATATATTATTATAATTAAAAAAATATTGTAATAAAAATTAATTTTAAAAAAAATTCTTTATTACAATAAAAATATTATATTATTATAAACTTAATTAATTATTATAAATATATTATTTTATTAATTAAAACATATTTTAAAGTTAGGAAGAAAAAGCATAACTCAAAAAGAATAAAAATTTCATTTTCTTAGAGAATATATAATTTATTAATTTGATTATTTAAAATATATTATTCTATCTCTTAGAATTAAAAACTACTGCACCAATTTTTAAATACACGTTTTAATATGACAAGAATGAATATTTATTGAATTATGTAATTTGAATTAAAATTTAAATCAATTTATATAATATATAAATAAAAATATAAACTAATATGTAAGGATAAAATGATAAATTGATTATTACTATCCCTCTTTTTTATCTTTTGAATCAAACAAAAGATAATTAAATATCCTTCTTTCTCTCTTTTTTTCTTATAATTAAACTAAATAAGGTGAGGCTACCCCACCCTCCCTTAGTCCCTTATCCCACCCTTTCCTCAAATCAAACAAGCCTTAGAGTTTATCATTGTTCTCTTATTCTATTTCAAATCTCTCGTGTTTTCACCTCACCTTATGACAAGGGTATTTAAGTTATTTGCCAAATCTGAATTTTTAGGGGATTTTTTCCATCATATATGTGATGCCAAGCATTGTAAGTTAAAGATGTTCCAATTTTATAGTTAAATAAATTTCCAATTCAACTTTTTAATTTTTTTAATCCAATATTAAAATTTGTTGGTGTATTATGGAGTCCTCATAGTATGACATTAAAACTCAACTTGAATAAACCGATTAGACTAATAAATCAGTTCCCAAGTCTGTCCATTAATTAAAAATTTTAGATAGGGCAATCAAGTTAGATTTTACATTTTCTATTTATTATGCTTGAAACAATGACATTTTGAGTTAAAAAATAGTCATCATATTTATCTTTTAATAACTTCATTTTATTAAATTATGTGTAATTTATTTGTGAATTAATTTTTTTATTCAAACATTATTCCTTTCAAAATAATATAAATATTTAAATTATATTATTGTAATTAACATTGGATTTACGTTGTTCCAACTTATTTATCATCTCCAAGTGAGATACTGCAAGTTTGTAATTTAAAAGCCGTATGCTCTCTTTAATTTTGTTAGAAAAACTTAATTTACCATGAACTATCCCCGCTGGGATAAAAAAAAAAAGGCTTCCAGTAAAAACTAAAATGTAAAAAATGTTTTCTTTTTTGAATTTTAAAGCCAAACACGACGTCCACCAATTTAGCATGTGTTTGGATCACGGGCAAAAATGTGTCTTGGGACTTGTGAGCTTTTTTACCAGTATGCTAAAAACAGTTAAAAAAAAATCAAAATGTTGCAGTTTTTAAAATATATGCTAATATGTTATACTTAAAATCGTTTTTAGGTGAACAATTTTTAAAGTCGTTCTTCTGGTGAATGATTTCTTCAGAATCAATCACCGATGTGAGTAAAGTGACTGAAAATTATTCTTTTGATGAACGATTTCAAAACTTTATCCCTTGACAAACGACTTCTCACCTTTTTTCCTAATAAATGAAAATGAAATGATTAGTATAATGAACTATCAATCATTTAATGAAAAATCATGACTAAATAATGAGAGGCAAGTGTTGATAATTACATAATAATATTAAAACTAATTGTGAAATGAATATAAAATGCATATTAATCAAAAATAAAAAGTAATAAATATTTTATTATAAAAATAATAAATAAAAATTAAGTTCATAAGAAAAAGATTATCCCCCTTACTAATAATGACTTCCAGTAAAATTTAAATCATATAAGTTTAAAATATTTTATAAATTATTTAAATTTATAAGCCAAAACTCTTAAACACATCTTTATTACAAAGATTTATAAACATATTTAGTTAAATATATATATTTATTAAAAAAATTAGTTAAATTCTTAATAAAATCTTTTATGTTTGTCTTAATTGAATGAAATTGATGTAACTATAAAAACATAATTTAGGAATTTATTAGAATGAGGAGTAAAATAGTAAATAAATTTTATTTTAATATAAATTTCAGTTAAAAATAATATTTTTAGAATCTTTTTAAAATACTCCTAACGTTGTTAACTAATTGGGCTAAACTGTATGTTTTTAAAATAGAGAGAAAGTCTATGTAATTGATGCAAACTAGAAAGATAATCATAATATTTTACTTTTGATCCAAAACGCTAAGGTCATGACACATCATCACTGATTCAAAAATGCAACATAAAAAATAGTTGGGAAAAGACAAAGTGAAGAAAAGAAATTATGGGTGTCTTTCATTCATTTTAATTTTTCATTGCTTACACCCTATGTTTACCTAAAAAATATATGAAAACAATATGTTCACTTGAAGTGGGTAGAACACTTTTTTCTTTTTTTACCAACTTCTCACTTATTATATATACCACAAATTTGATATTTAGGGTGTATATATAATTATTTTTCAGTTTTATCTTACCAAATTTAAACTCCCGGAAAAGTATACTTTCATAGGAAAAAATAATAATCATATACTAAAAAAAGATTGGAGTTTATATCAAAATCTTAACATTTTAAAACAATATAATAGATGATAGTTTAATGTCAAAATAAGAGGCACCTAGCTTAAAAAGAGTACAAATATTCCATATCGTTGAACCCACCACTCACCTCTTGAAAATTAGAATATGAAATATTAGCTGATCAATGATAGTATGGATAAAAAATCAAATTCTATATCATAGTTGCAAATTTAAAAAAAAAAAAGAAGAGAAACAATGTACCCACAACAACAGTAAAAGAGCTTGTCAAGTGTTTGGAAACAAGAGTGGAAAAAATAACAGAGTAAGAGAACAATAAAAATAGAGCAAGTGAACCATCGAGAGGAAGAAGAAGAAGAAGAAGAGAGAGCTCTAGAATGAAAGGAGATGAAGCAAGAAACAAAAATTGAACATGTAAATATATAAAAGCATGCACATTGCTGTGGCATCACGTGTTTGCATGGAAAGAAAGAATTGAGTTGACAAGTGAAAGAAGTGAGCATTGGGAAGGAAATAGCAGAGAGATTTTGGCATGGGAAAATAATAGTAAAAAAATAAAATTATTTTTGATATGAACTGACTTCACTTTTTGATTTAAAAAAATGTTAAAAAGTGAAACCGTTAATGTCAAGAACGATTTTATTTTTTATCAGATAACATACAAATCGTTCTTAGTAAGAATAACTTGTATATAATTTAAAAATCGTTTTTATCAAGAACGATTTTAATTGTAGTGTATTGATAAATACTTTTAAAATTATAAGATTTTGATATATTTTTTAACTGTTTATAGCCGGTTTAAAAGCCGAACTTGTGAAAAGTTACTTTTTGGAAGAGAGGCTGTTAATTAATGTTTGGATGAGTTGAAGTTTAGTACGAATTTTCATCTCAAGCCCCACGTTGAGCCAAAGCAGTTCTTTCTCTACCGTTTGTCTTTGTACTTCACATGGCTTGTCAGTATTATTAGAATGCATCTTCACTAAACCTATATCATCACTAGGCAATAATAAAAATAAATATAAAATAATTTTTAATAAGGTTTTATAATATTTTTAATTTTAATAGTAGTGATATTTTATACATTATATATTTACATAAACATATATTTATATTTTTATTCATTAAAAATAATTTTTTTATTTTTATAATACTAATTCTTTTTAGTCATCTCGCATCTAAACTTATTTTTTTTATTAATTATCCAAACAAATTTTAACTTGTCAAACTAATTTTTTTATAAAAATTAATCTAAAAACAAAATAATTTTTATTTTAACTTAGGTTTGTAAAAATTATATGGAATAAAAGTTATTTTTATCATCAACACACCCATGGCAATAAGCGTACATCATTCACTTCGGTTGAGGGTCTTGCCACGTGGACATACTTGTCAGTTTATGGTCATCAAGTCTACAATTTTGACTTTCGGTGCTGCGCTGTGCTTCAGCTTCTCCTCGTGGTCCCAACTACCCCAAGCTGCTTGCGTCTTCAACAACTGGGGAAGGACCACCCACATTTTGAGCAAAACCAACTGGAATTTGGAAGAACGAACCAGAGTTACTTTGATCAAAATGATAACAAAGAGCATAAGCGAATTGCAAGTGCAAGATTTTGTGCAAGCTGGTTTAACAAGCGAGGAAGCCCAGAGATTTGATCAAGTTTTGAAGGAATTAATCCTTCAGAGGGTCGAATGGTCTGACCCACGAGAGCTTTGGCGCGAGCTTGTGGCTCGAAGAGTGCTAAAGCCATTTTACCCACATTCTCTGCATCAGCTTGTGTACTATTCTGTATATGCACGTTGGGATGCCTCCACCAAAGGTCCACCCCTCTATTGGTTCCCTTCTCTGTAAGTCATTTGCTCTATTATTTTGCTAGGATTTGCATATGCTGGTCAATGTAATAGTTTTGGGAATGAATGGTTGTTTTTATTCGTTTGGTTGGTTGGTTTTGGAATCTGCATCCAGTACTTGCATGGATTTTAGATTACTGTCACTTCCAATGTGGTTCGTTTTCATTTTGGCTTTGTTATAACTCCGAAGTTTGTGGATCAAATATGTCAACTGATTCAAAAAGTTAACTTTCTGGTTTGCAACATTCTAGATGGCACGCAAAACAGACAAATTTGGGACGGATAATGGAAATCTATGGCCCAAAGCTTTTGGGAGCAGCGTACAAAGATCCTATAACTAGTTTTAATCTCTTTCAGAAATTTTCAGTAGAGCACCCTGAGGTAAGTAGTAATTGTGTTAGTTATTTTAAAACTTGTACAAGTCCTTGTTTCAATTTTTCTTAGTGCATTGAAGCACAGGCCTTCGTAGTAAGTGCATTGATATCTATCAATCAATATCAGGTATACTGGTCCATTATTCTGAAGGAGATCTCAGTATCATTTATTGAGGCCCCAAAGTGTATCTTAGATGCTTCTGACAAATCGAAACATGGTGGAACTTGGCTTCCAGGTTCAGTCTTGAATATTGCAGAGTGTTGTTTGCTACCTAGGATTCATCCAAAGAAAGAAGATGGCAGTTTGGCCATTGTATGGAGAGATGAAGGGTTTGATGATTCTAAAGTTAATCAGATGACACTAAAAGAGCTTCGAGAACGAGTAATGTATGCACTCACTTAGGTGTAGGTGGCTCCAATACTGTTGGTAGTCTTTTTGGGCCACATTTATGACAATTGTTTAATTTAGGTGAAAATTATGATCCCAGATTATCTCTTCATACAATAATTCTGATGGATAGAGTTAGTTATGATTATTTACTTGCCAGTCTTCCACATAGATACAAAATTCTGAATAATTTGAGGATGTGTACCAGAATCTGACGCCTTCAGTCATTACTACTATAGGTATCTTCTGTCTGTTCATAACATTCCCATTTTTGTCAAAAATTCAAAATTATTTTTTCGACACGTCAGGATAAAGAGCTTCATATACCATAAATATAAAGAAGATATATGTCCATGGCTGTTTGTTTGCTTTACATAGAAAATGGCCAAGTAGAATATCTTATGTTGCCTTAGTCCTAGCATTTTTAGTTATGCACCATGTCCTCTGAGTTATAGCACTGAATGTTTGATTAAAAAAGATAGCAACGAGAAATTCTGTTTTGGAAATTGTTTAATTAATACTTGTACACCCACTATCCTGTAATCTTCCTTTCAATTTTTATCTTTTTAGGCATCTAGCACGAACCCGTTTTATTGGATTGTAATTCTTGGGGCAAATAATCATTGTAGTGATTAAAGAAAAAAATATTTCATTGAGAATAAAGAGTCTGTTTTCTCTGGTCGTGTGCATATTTCTTTGTGGTATTATATAAGTTCTGTATATGAAAATGTGAAATAAATTGTGACATCTGCTGAGTTATTGATTTTTTTTATCACTGAAAGTGGGATTGAGTTACATTATTGGTTGAACTGGACACTTTAATTAGGAATGCTAAGCATCATTCATTTCCCCCCCATTTTCTTTAAGTCTCCTGGCGTTCATTTTATGCTTTTGATTCTTCCCTTTTCAGATTTCATGCTTTCATCGGCTTTCAATTCATATTTTATGCTTATGATTCTTCTCTTTTCTGACTTCATGCTTGCATCTGCTTTCAATTCATAATATCTTTTCTATACCTCGTGTTGAGCTCTCTCTCCATAATTTTATCAAATCATTTCCAGGATGGTAGCAAAAGTGATAGCTGCTGAATTCTCAAAGGGTGATGCAATTGCAATTGACATGCAAATGACAGTCACTGCTGTTATAATATACTTGGCCATTATTGTAGCCGGATGTGTTGTGGTATCAATAGCTGATAGCTTTGCACCAAAGGAAATTGCAGTTCGCCTGCGTGTCTCTAAAGCAAACTGTATCTTTACACAGGTGACCTGTCAATTTGAAACCATGCAATTTATAATGGATGTTCTGCTGATGCAAATGAGATAACTTGATAGTAAGAGTTATCTCTCATTGTTGGAGACCAAAAATGAAAAACTTGCATAACATTCAGGATGTGTAATTGGAATCTGAGGGGTGTTTGGAAATGCTTCTTGATAATCAACTAAAAACCAGCCTCCTATTTGCTTTAGCCCTTCAGTTGGCCTCACATTTCTAACTCTTTCCGGATCCTCTCCCTGTGCTCCTTTTACAATTCCCTTGTCCCCTTAAACTGCTCTTCTGTCCAGTCATGCTTGCCGTGCAGTGTTTTTCACTTAATCAACTCCTTCCTTTGGCAGAAAGTGTATACTTGCTTAAATAAATGTTTTTCAATACCACCTTCCCTCCCAAGTAGTTTTCTCTGAAAAAATGAAATCAAATTCTTCACAACCTCCATTATGACGAACTCCTAATACTCCTTGTAGCGGGCTTATAGAATGGCGTCGAAATATTTTCAAAATGAAGAGATGTCTCTTGAAAAGTCATGTTCTTAAATTAAGGCATTTTTATGAAGGGCTATATTGGGGGTTACGACACCAAAAGTCACTCAAATCATGTCTTTATAATAACATCTAAAGGCAACTTTGTAAGGTCATAAAAACAAAAGGGGTGGTAACCAACACTCGGTGAAATGATAGGAAGTTGTAGTTCAAGGAAACTCTAAATATTAAAAGGACGTCACTCTCCATGAAAAAGCTAGTTTTAATAACCATTGGTAATTACAACTATGTTGGTTCATGAAACAATATAGGGTCATAAATTTTTAATTGCAGTGTCATTTTATTTCAAGAGGTACCATTTCGAGGCATCACTGCATTGTCTTTATATAGCCCTTTCATCACTCCATTCATACATCCAAACTCATTACCTTTGTCTTTGCGTGTATCAGAGATGAAAATGATGAGGCGAGGGCTGGGCCTCAGTTGATTTATGTTAAAAGAAAGCCCAAGGGCAATTGAGGGATTGTATGGGTGACGGTTAGAGGAGAGAGACGGGTGGGAAATATTGTTATATAGGGAAGTTGTTATAGGAGGGCGGTATGCATGTTGAGAGAGAGCTTGGGAGAGGTCTGTGTCTCTCGAATACACAGAGACCAGTGGCTGTAACCGTTTCTGCATGTTTTTCGTTTCTCCCCTTTAGGTCCATACCCTGAGGGTGAGCCTTCTTTTCTCCAGTTGGCAGTAATACAGACTGTGTTCCATCATTAAGGTATCAGAGCCGGCACGATCCGGCGAATGGTGACTCGAATGGAGCAGAAGGTTGAGCATATTGATACACGGCTGGTTCAGACTGAGCAGGGTATTGAGCTGCTACGAGGAGATGTATCAACCCTCAAATGCGACATAGCCACGATACAATCCTTGATGACCGAGGTGCTGACAGAAATACGTCAGGCAAAGCGACCCGAAGCGGTCGGTACCCGGATTGAAGAATCCCCTGGGTCTAAGGTTACATCAGAGTTCCCACGGACAGAGGAACAAGGCGAGACGGAGGTGAAAGAAGCCCGTAGTGACTTCTCTAATCTCAGGAAACTTGATATGCCTTTGTTTTCGGGAGAGGACCCGCTAGGTTGGATCTTCAGGATTGAGCGATACTTCAAGCTCAATCGGATTATCGATGATGACAAATTGGATGCTGCAGTGCTCTGTTTTGAGAACCGGGCGTTAAACTGGTTCCAGTGGTGTGAGATTCGAAGTCCATTGCGAAATTGGATTGAGCTTAAACGGGCTCTGGTGTTGCGTTTCCACCCGTCGCAGTGCGGAGGCACTTACGAGATGCTAATGGCACTCCGGCAGAGAGGGACCGTGGCCGAATATATTGAGCGGTTTGAGCTTCTCTCAACTACTCTAGATAAGTGCGACGACGAAGTGTTAATCGCCGCCTTCCTGAATGGATTACACCCAGACATCAAAGCCGACCTTCGGATGATTCCGTCGCATTCCATCCGAGAACTCATGGATATGGCTTTACGGATTGAGGAGCGCAACTGGGTCAAGTCTTCACTCCACGGGTTCAGCGTTGACCGAGCCTCTAAGTTGTGGGATACGGACAAATGGGCCACACGTCCCAGCCCAACTCGTTACACAGCCGAAACATCTAAACCGACGACCCACACCGCAGCGATCCCGGCTGACCCCAAGAGCACACACGTCGCGGAGAAGGTTGAGATACCGGTGACTCACATCACCAAGTCAGTACCGAAGAAACTCACTGATGCTGAAATTGAGAGGCGGCGAGAACTTGGTCTTTGCTTCAAGTGCGACGAGAAGTTTCGACCGGGACACAGATGTAAAAAGAAGCAGCTGCAAGTGTTGATCCTAGCTGAGGAAGCCGATAATGGCGAGAACCCGGAATCAGATGTTGTTACCCCTGCGACAGCCTCTGATAATTTTCCTGACGAGCCGGCGACTGAGGGGCAGCTTATGACTCTTTCTCTTAACGCATTGGCAGGCGTGACCGGGGAAAAACCATCAAACTCAAGGGTACGGTGCTCGGTCATTCCGCATTAATCCTTATTGACTGCGGAGCCACACACAGTTTCATTCACCACGATTTGGTCAATGCTCTCAACCTGACCCTTGATCCGCGACTATCCTTTACTGTTCAAGTAGGCGATTCTCGTCATGTGCAAGGCAGAGGAATCTGTAGGGATGTACCCATTGTGATCCAGGGGCTCCACATTAGTCAACACCTCTATCCTTTTCAGCTGGGTGGGTCAAATATCATCCTCGGTGCAGACTGGCTCGAGTCATTGGACGAAGTTCTGGTGAGCTGGAAAAGGTCGACCCTCAAGATCAACATAGGCGGAGAATGGGTTTGTTTGCGAGGTGATCCGTCTTTACAAAAGTCAGAAATGTCGTCGTCTACACTCCTTAAGTCCATGCGCTCAGCAGACGTCGGTTTCCTAATTGAGTTTACTGAGCTCAAAGTAACTGATATTAACCTTACGGAGATTGCCGCAGATGTTCAAGGCCTTCTTGGGGAGTTCCCTGCAGTACAAGTACCACCTACTGGCCTACCTCCTCACCGTTTGGTCGACCACACTATTGAGTTAAAACCAGGAGAGGCTCCGCCTAATATACGGCCTTACCGTTATCCCCACTGCCAGAAATCAGAAATTGAGAAGATGGTGCAAGATATGTTACAAAAACTGGTCTGATTCGACCCAGCAGGAGCTCCTTCTCTAGTCCAGTTCTACTAGTCAAGAAGAAGGACGGTAGCTGGCGGTTTTGCATTGACTATAGGGCTTTGAATAAAATCACCATTCAGGACAAGTTTCCAATTCCAGCGATTGAAGAACTCCTCGACGAGCTACATGGGGCTCAGATTTTTTCAAAACTAGATTTAAAGTTGGGTTACCACCAGATACGAATGAAGCCAGGTGAGGAACATAAGACCGCTTTCCGTACTCATGATGGCCATTATGAGTTTGTGGTCATGCCGTTCGGGCTGAAGAACGCACCATCTACCTTTCAATCTCTCATGAATGATATTTTTGGTCAGTATCTGAGGAAATTCATCTTGGTCTTCTTTGACGACATTCTGGTCTATAGCGTGAACCGGTAGGAGCATTTACGGCACTTAAGGGTGGCCTTGGAGGTACTACAGCAACACCACTTGGTCATCAATGCCAAAAAGTGCATTTTCGCTCAGTCTGAATTGGAATACCTCGGCCACATAATTTCTCCAGCGGGGGTCCATGCAGATCCCTCAAAAGTACAGAGCATGTTGACTTGGCCTGTACCTCAATCACTCAAGGAATTACGGGGGTTTCTGGGTCTCACGGGTTATTACCGCCGTTTCGTCAGGAATTATGGCACCCTAGCATCTCCCCTCACCCGCTTGCTCAGGAAAAATGCCTTCCACTGGAATGAGGAGGCACAATCCGCCTTCGATATCCTCAAACAGGCTATGTCGTCAACACCGGTATTAGCCATTCCAGATTTTCAGGTCCCTTTTGTCGTTGAGGCATATGCATCCGGTACCGATTTGGGAGCTGTCCTGATGCAAAATGGACGACCCTTGGCATATTACAGTCACCATTTGTCAACTAAGAACCGACAGAAATCTGTGTATGAACGTGAGCTCATGGCTATTGTCTTTGCGGTAAAGAAATGGTGGTATTACTTGCTGGGAAGGCCTTTCCTCATTAAAACAGATCAAAAATCACTGAAGTATCTCCTGGAACAACGAGTCCTGGATGGTCAGCAACAGCAATGGGTTTCAAAACTAATGGGCTTTGACTTTCAGATACAATATAAACCAGGGGCCTCTAATTCTGCTGCAGATGGACTGTCCCGAAGAGGGGGTGACTGTGCACTACAAGCGATCTCAGTTCTGCAAAATTCAGATATTGACTTGTGGGACCAAGAGGTTCGAGCGGACCCGACTTTGGCAGCGATCATTCAAGCCTTGGGCACCGGTCAGGCAACTAAGGCAGGATATACACTCAAAGGGGGTCACTTATTTTTTAATGGACGCTTAGTGATACCGAAACAATCGCCTCGAATTCCTTCCCTGCTACAGGATTTCCATGATTCGCCCATTAGGGGCCATTCAGGGTACTTGCGTACATATAAGCGGCTTGCTTCGTTGTTCCACTGGGATGGTATGCGCCGAGATGTCCAGAAATACGTGGCGGCCTGTGATACGTGCCTTAAGAACAAACACTTAGCTACCAGTCCAGCCGGGTTATTACAACCACTACCGATTCCTGACGCAGTATGGACTGACATTACCATGGACTTCATCACTGGATTACCCAAGTCGGCTAAATTTGATACTATATTTGTAGTAGTGGATCGTTTGACCAAATATGCGCACTTCCTTCCCCTACGTCATCGTTATTCAGCTTGTGATGTTGCTGCTGTCTTTGTAAAAGAAATAGTGCGTTTGCACGGGTTCCCTCGTTCCATTGTCTCCGATCGTGACAAAATTTTTATGAGTCACTTTTGGAAGGAACTTTTCAGATTATCGGGTACCTCTCTGAGTTATAGCTCAAGTTACCATCCACAAAGTGATGGTCAGACTGAGGTAGTGAATCGAAGTGTGGAGACGTATCTGCGTTGCTTTTCCAGTTTCCATCCCGCGGACTGGTCCAACTGGCTTGCTTGGGCTGAATTCTGGTTTAACACCAACTTCAATCGTTCCACAGGCATGACTCCTTTTCGAGCTCTCTACGGGCAGGATCCACCAACCCTGTATCGTTTCCAGGAGTCCTCTTCGTTGGTAGATGCTGTCACTGATCACCTGCAGGCCCGCAATGCTATCTTGGTTGAACTCAAAGAAAATTTAGAGCACTCACAGCAGTATATGAAGTCCTTTGCTGACAGGAAAAGACGTGATGTACAATTCGAGCTAGGTGACAAAGTGTATCTCAAGCTGCAACCTTATCGGTTTCGTTCTTTAGCTCGTCGCCCCAATGAAAAATTGAGTCCACGTTATTATGGTCCCTTCCCCATTATCGCCAAAGTTGGGACCGTGGCGTACAAGCTGCAGTTACCTCCCGACGCTAAGATTCACCTTGTCTTCCATGTGTCCCAGTTACGGTTGGCTCCACCTGCTACGATCGTACCACAGTCATTACCTCCCTTTCTCACGTCTGACCTTGAGTTACAAGTCCAACCAGAGAAGGTTTTAAAGTCACGACGTCTGACTAATAGCACTGTTGAGGTCCTCATCAAATGGCTACACCTCCCTGAACATGACAGCACGTGGGAAGACTATGATGCCATTCAATTACAGTTTCCTACTTTTGTCCTTGGGGACAAGGACACACTTATTGGGGGGGGGTAATGATGAGGCGAGGGCTGGGCCTCAGTTGATTTATGTTAAAAGAAAGCCCAAGGGCAATTGAGGGATTGTATGGGTGACGGTTAGAGGAGAGAGACGGGTGGGAAATATTGTTATATAGGGAAGTTGTTATAGGAGGGCGGTATGCATGTTGAGAGAGAGCTTGGGAGAGGTCTGTGTCTCTCGAATACACAGAGACCAGTGGCTGTAACCGTTTCTGCATGTTTTTCGTTTCTCCCCTTTAGGTCCATACCCTGAGGGTGAGCCTTCTTTTCTCCAGTTGGCATTAATACAGACTGTGTTCCATCAGAAAACTTTCACTTTGTAAAAACTATTGTTGTCTTGACTTGAGTCTTAAGAATGAAAACCATCTCAAGGTCTTTATTGTATCCTGGAGAAAACTTTTCATCAACCTAATTTGTGCTTATTAAGCCTAAAGAAAAGTGTTGCCTACAGTTTGAAACCCTTTAGAGAACAATTGCCACCAAGAAATGGTCTATATATTCTCACAAGATTCTAGGGATCTGTACTGTAGGGAACATCTCCTTTGGTCATATAGTTGTAAGGAGGATGCAAACATGAGAAGGAGAGAGGTGCCATTAGAGTGACAACAACAGTTTGACTAGGTTTTTCCCTCCTAGGCTACAACCTTGCGTGAAAAAGGAAAGAGAAAGATAGACAAGCCCTCCATTGGTGGATGTATTTAGTTTTTCCCTCATTCTTAAGCCCTCCATTGGTGGATGTATTTAGTTTTCCCCTCATTCTTTTATCAGTTTTTCACTAATATCATGGTGAAAACTTTTTAGAATCAAAGAGTAGGGTAAGGTTATGTTGTATGATCAAAGATTGGAGGTTATTGTCCATACATTTATTCCCAGCATACCCCCTGAAAGAACCTGTGCAATGAACTCATAAAGTTTTCAATTTCAAACTAATTTTACTGTATTGCAGTCTAGATATTTAGTACTCTCTGTTGTTTATGGTAATGCTATCTAAGCTTCAGCTTGCGTTCAGGATTTCATATCAAGAGGTGGCCGAAAATTCCCTTTGTACAGGTAAAATATTTACTATTATACTTCACTGCTGCATCTCTGAATTCATGATTTGAACAATAAAATCATATCATACTTGGTTCAGTCCATTGATTTTTTTTGACTATGTAAACTTTCTAACTTATTGTTAACATGTGAAGATTTACATGTAAATATTTTTACCATTATTCCACACATTTGATGCAAATGATAACCCAACACTGTGATGTCATGGTTATCTGATGATCACGGGCAGTCAATGTTAGAATTAACTGTAAATAGTAGGCTGAGTTGTGTTATTTTAGTGCCAAACTGCTTATATAGAGTACGGCATGACCATTTTCTTGGTGCTATCCTTTAGTATTGCTAATCATTTTCTTTGTCTCTTCGGGTAAAGCATTCTGAATTCTCTCTTTCTATGCTATATTTCCTTCTAATTGTTGTTGGGGTTCAATCTGGTGAGGGGAATCAATGTATCAATATATTAATATGCATAATCAAACATGTAGCAAGTTCCACTATTCACAAACCATATATAGTGCAGCTTATTTTTCAAATTTCATAAAATGCATGGAAAAACACATCATGTTATTTATTTGGGCTTGATTGATATAGAACAAGGAAGAAAAGGGCAAGGAGACAGGGGGGTAAATAAAGACTTGTGCTATAAGTCATTGCTAGCTTTCGTTTGACTTAGTTTGTCTTTATGGTAATGACAAGAGAATTCAATCGTACGGTGAAATTAATACTTCAATGAAATTTTGATGTCTACAGGAATTCTCGAAACAAAATTTGTCTGTATGATGTAATATTATTGTTCTTTTGCCAAAATTTGTATTTGAGAATTGAATATCTTGTTGAAGAGGCTAAATTAGATGTCACTATGATTGTTTTACCATGTTCCACTTGAAAAGTTGAAATATGTCTAGCTTGATTTTCTTCATGTTGGACTGTTGTGTTTGACGGATTTAAGTTTGCTGTTTTATCCAAAAGAAATTAATGGAAGAATCATTCTGTGGGTTTCTCCTTGCAGTCGCGTCATTGAGGCGGCAGCTTGTAAAGTTATTGTACTTCCAGTGTTAGGTGATGATATAGGAGTGCAATTGAGGGAACAGGATCAGTCATGGAAAGATTTTCTCTCTTCTGGTAGTCAGCATCCCAGGTAACGTCTATTGCAACATGTTTATTATACTTCTTTATAGTTCGACCAAAATGCGGTCTCATCTGACTAAAACAATCACTGCTACAAGAGCACTTGAATAAGATAGAGATGTTACATTTCTTTTGTGTTTAGGCTTACATGATCATTTAACTATTGGCAGATCAAATTATTACTCTCCAGTTCCAGTCTATCAATCAATCGAGTCTGTCACTAACATACTCTTCTCATCAGGAACCACTGGTAATGATTCTACCCAAGTAAACATCAATGCGAGAATGGCATTATCATAGGTTTCCTGATTCTCTTTACATTTTCAATAGGTGAACCAAAAGCTATTCCATGGACTCAGCTCTCACCTATTCGAAGTGTTGCTGATGCATGGGCTCTCATTGATGTTCAAGTTGGGGATACTTTCTGCTGGCCCACAAATTTAGGGTGGGTAATGGGACCAACTCTAATCTATACATGCTTTCTGTCTGGGGCAACTCTTGCTCTTTACCATGGATCTCCTCTAGGTCATGGTTTTGGAAAATTTGTTCAGGTGATTTCTCCAACTTTAATACTCTTCCGGTCTTTAATATAGGACCTAATTATTGAGTTGATTTTCACCCTAAATATAAGACCTATTTATCATATTTATCAATTTTTCCTAAATTATCCTTATGGATACTCTCTCAACCATAATCAAGTAGAAGAGGAGGAGAGGATATTAAAAAAGATGATTATGGTGTTTTAGGAAAAACATGTCATATTTCTTATAATTAACTAACTTATATAACTTCCTTAATCTAATCAAATTAGTTAAATAGGTCTTATATTAAGAATCAGAAGAGTAGTACATAAATTATTATTATAGTAATAGTCGTAGTAATATTAACAGTAGTTGGCATTCTGTATTACTATTAAATATTGAGATTTCTGACTGAATACAGTTACTTATCAGTGAGAGTAGGACCATGAAATGTACATACTAGTTGTGTCTTACATTTATTTATGAAAGGAGCCCATTAGCTGCTGTAGGTCCTGGTCTTCTTTGTGATACTGTGGCACGCAGCATAATGTTCATGTGCATGGTATCTGGCTTAGTGGCTAGAGAAACTAGAATGGTAGACCTGTAGACCTATTGTTGGCTCTTGAACTTGCCTTTCAGAATTTAAACTGTCCATGAAATTCTATCTATAACAAATATTCTTTTTCAGTATTCCAGAATATTTCATCGTGTTTGAAATGTGCATATTTTTAAGCACATATAATATATTGTTTTGGAGATCACACTGCCACACATAACCATGTGATCATGTTATTAACTGCAAGATTTTGCTGCTTTATGACAGAATTACCCTCATTCTTCATAGTCTTTATTTTTAATTTATTTAGATAAGACAGAAAATATTTTATTGTTTGTTGCTTTCCCTCAGACACATCTATAAGGCTTGATTAATTAGGTTTAAGCCTCCATGTATGTCCGTTGCCTTTGATTGATTGAGTGGAAGTTGAGTAGCCGAGGGACATCTACATACCACTGGTTTTTATCCACGTATTGTTTGCAAAGGAGAATTTTGGTCGGGTTAATCATTTAGCCCCTTCACTCAAATTTTAATTTGACACCTACATTTTAAAAGGTTGTAATTGTCCTTGTAGTTTCTATTATTATTATTATTATTATTATTATTATTAATTATTAATTGGAAAACAGCCATTAAAATTGTATTTATATTTACTCACATGGCAATGCAATTATCATATTGGGTCTTTAACTGCGCAAACACTTAGCTAAGGTGTTGAATTCTTGCCACACACATCACTGTAGCTCTGCATTCTTCTTTGCCTTCATCCACCGAATATGATTGAACATAGTCTTCGCCTAAAGCATGTGCTTTTCAACTCGCTTTACTCCTTTGAATAGCCAATCACGCCTTTCATGTAGTTGCTACCAATCATTAATGCACATGTGCACAGACATGAAGGCTTCTGATTTAGTCTCATTGATTCTTTGTTCTTATATACCTTTGACCAAATCAGTTCTCGGTTCCCCTCACAAATGATGCAGATGAAAGTATGCCAAATTTACGGGGGAAACAGATTGTCTATTTCTCTCCCGCTAATTTCCATAATTGATAGTCTACTAACACCCTCTTCACAAATCTACAACAGTAATATTTTCTTTTCCAGCATTAAAAGAGTCTTCTGTATGCATGCGTGCGTGCGTTTTTTCATGACCATTTTAATTCTATGATAAAGAAACTACTTGTAAACATTCCAAATTATCTACCAAACATATAAATTATGATTTTCCCACATGGCACCAACATCAAAATTCAAGTCTCTTAAAACCAGGATCGTTAACCTAATGATCTAAAAGCTTTTCAAGCTTGTGTATGATACATCTATTATCTTTTTGGAGAAGCATGTGCACAGGACTCATGGATGACAGGGCTGCATGCTTGAGTGCTTCCAGTTATGTGGCTTCAGTCAGCATAAATTATCTGTATGATATTGTTGTTTGCTTATGGTATCCATTTAAACTGTTTAAAACAAACAAAAATTAATTACAAAATTTTAAGCTATAAGAACCAAATCAGAGATGGAGTAAAAGTATAGGGACTAAAGGAATTCTTTCACCTAGTATTCTTCTATATGTAGAAATATTTTTGACACGATAATAGAGTTCCTTATACTCTGTTATTGTGTTTGAGTATGCCTGTAAGAAGCCAAGTTGCAATATTTCCTTCAGTAGTTCTTATGCTTTACATGAAATGAATATATACATTAGCACAAACGCCTTGCCTTACCTATCTAATATTTACCACAATTTCAGGATGCTGGTGTTACTATTTTGGGAACAGTTCCCAGCTTGGTAAAAACTTGGAAGAATACAAATTGTATGGAAGGCTTAGATTGGACAAAGATAAGGTAAATTCTCATGGATGTTTAATTAACAAGTAACTAAAAAGATAAATTAACTGTAATGTGGTTATATGCAGAACATTTTGTTCCACCGGAGAAACTTCAAATGTTGATGATGACCTTTGGCTTTCTTCAAAGTCCTATTATAATCCAATCATTGAATGTTGTGGTGGAACGGAGCTTGCTTCTAGTTACATCCTTGGAAGCCAACTTCAGCCTCAAGCTTTTGGGGCATTTAGCACAGCATCAATGACGACTGGCTTTGTCATCCTAAATGAGAGTGGAGTGCCTTACGTAAAAACATTTTCTGGCTGCCCAATTTCTTTCTTTCTTTTATTTTTATGTTCGTTCCCCAACCCCCCCCCCCCCCCGGGTTCCTTTTTTTGTTTGCTTTTTAAGTATTGATCACCTTCCCCCAACATATTAACATATACTAGTATGAGAATACCATGTAGTTACTGAAGTTTCAAAGAATTTCCTTGAAACCGGAAATTAAAAGTTGGATCAATGATGATCAACCAGAAGCACACACCTCAAAAAACTAGAACACTAATAGAAATCAATCGGGCTCATCTGAACGTATTTCCTTGTGCTCTAGACTTTTGCGAAGGTCTAGCTGAGTCAACCAATTTGCAACCTATTCTTTCTTGTGAGATCTTTGATCTCCTACCGTACTTTTCTGTTGAACTTTATCTTCATTTTACCAATTCCAATTCCAATTAAAGTGCTTGCATATTCTAATTTGGCATCATGTTATTTCTTTGACCAATATGACAGCCAGATGATGTTGCTTGTGCTGGGGAAGTGGGTCTTTTCCCTCAGTATTTTGGAGCAACGGATACATTGCTTAATGCTGATCATGAGGAGGTTTACTTTAAGGGGATGCCCATTTACAAAGGGAAGGTAAGCTTACATTGATATGCTGAACATTGATAAAAAAGATAATTTTGAGTTTCTTCGACCGTCTCCTTAGAATATGCACACTCAAATGGTAAAAGCTGCACTTGCTGACCAAATAGCACATGCTCACCTAGTAGCAGATACTTAACTCTGAAATTTGGAAGTTTTAATCATTGGCAATAAATGTGTGTCAATAGTAGAAGTATGAAGGCTATAAATTTCATGTATTGCCTACGCACTGACTTTCCAGCAATCGTTTCTTTGTAAATTATTTTGAATAGATGACATTGCAAATTTTAATTGTATTACTCATTCTGTTATTAGTAGTTTCGTTTGCTGTTTCAAGTGATGAATTTAGTCCTAAACTGTACATGTCTAACTTGATGTACTTGTTACCAGCGGCTTAGGAGACATGGAGATATAATCAAGAGATCTGTTGGAGGCTATATCATTGTAGAAGGAAGGGCTGATGACACCATGAATCTTGGTGGTATAAAGGTATAACATCATACACCTTTTTCCTGTTTTCTGCTAGTTCTCCTTGTTCAACACCGATTCAAGCTTCTAAAAGATTAGAGTCTGCTTTTATATATAAGAATTCCGCATGGCTTTGAGTTGATGACCAGGCTAAATTTAGTAAGAATGTTCTATACTCTGAAATCAATCTTGAATTCTTCAGTAAGTTCTTAAATTCACATGATCATTTCTCTTAATTTGGCAATATAGGACTCTTGCTTTCTTCATACTCTGAATTTTACTTCTGATATGCAGACAAGTTCGGTGGAAATTGAGCGTGTCTGTGACCGAGCTGATGAATGCATTTTAGAGACAGCTGCCATCAGTGTCGCGCCGGCAATCGGTGGTCCGGAACAACTGGTTATATTTGTGGTTTTAAAGAAAGGATGCAACTCTGATGCAGAAACCTTGAAGATGAAGTTCTCTAAAGCCATTCAAAGGAATCTTAATCCTTTGTTTAAGGTGAAATTTAACTGAATTTAAACGCTTACAAATTCCAAGTACATTACTTTATGAATCATTATTTGAAATGTGGATCCTTATGACTGAGCTTTCTGATATCACAAAAGAGTTTCTTGAAATCTGAACCTGACAATTGTTGATTTGACTACTGAGTTGATGTTCGCAACTAATCTAAAATGCAGGTAAGTCTTGTTAGAATCGTCCAAGAGTTCCCTCGAACAGCTTCCAACAAATTACTAAGGAGAGTTCTGAGGGATCAAATGAAGCGTGAGCTATCAATTCAAAGTAGGCTCTAAGAACCTTTTTAATTCTCATGCAAAGCCATTCCGTGGTTATAGTGTTTCTATGGTAGTAATGGAATAATGAATTTATGTTGTTATACAATTTGGTCCAATGAGGCTCTCAAGTCTTTGGATGAGTTATTTCTCATATAAACATGTGATTAATCACATGTTAGTTATTTAGTTTAACTTCTAACGGACATGGTAATGTGTTTGAATATTCATTTTTATTGTTTTTCAAAGAGATCAGGATTGCTTTATTTTAATTTTCTTTTTATTTTCATGTTTTCGTTTCAAATCGGAGCATAATAGAAAAAATTTCTCGACTTCATATTGTTTGATCAGGTGTTCATAATTGTGTATTATGGAAATCATTTAAAATTAATATTGTCCGCTGAAATTTGTGGTAAAAAGCATTTTGTGTCTATATTCATTTCATAAGATGTTTTTAGGGAAAATTAAAAAAAAAATGATACGTGAATTTTTGAAACCTCAAAATGTGACCTAAATTAAAATTTTGAAACGTTCGTAAAGTAAAATCCCATGTCTTATTTGACACTTCCAAAATTTAAAACTAAGTAGTATTTATTTCTCAACTTTTTTTGCCAACGTAGTTTTCAACTAGTATCATTCTAGATTTGATCCTCACATGCTTATTTTGAACCTTGGATTTTTTTTGGGCCTGCAATTTTGAATTATCTTGTTCTTTTATCAAAATAATAATATTTAAATAAAATGTAACTATTCGATCAACAAACGTGAACTCGTTTATTTTCCCCCTTAAAATCTTTGATGGATACCTGTCTGTTGAATAATTGTTTGGATGATAAACTTTGTGGAGATAAATGGCACATGATATGGTTGAAGATCAAGTTTACGGGAGACGACAAAGCCCGTGTTTACTTTATTCTTTTATGTCTTTAGTGACTCTTCTAATGAATCAAGAGAGCTTATGTTTCTATACCAAAACTCAGTTATAAAATGTTTTCGTAAAAAAATTAGTTAATTACTCATTCAGTTTTTAATATAAAACTTATTTAACTAATTTGATTTGATTAAAAAAGTTAGTTAAATTAATTAATTATAAAAAAATATGACATGTTTCTTAAAACACTATAATTATCTTTCTTAATATCCTCTCTCTCTCTTCTATTTGATTATGGTTGAGGGAGATCAATAAGGATAATTCAGAAAAAATTGATAAATATAATAAATAGTATTATATTTAGGATCAAAATTAACTCAATAATTAGGTTCTATGTTAAAGACTGAAGGGGTATTTTTTATTTTTCAAAAATTAGGAAGTAATTTAGGCCTTTTTTTGTTTTCTACTTTTATGTTTTTAGTATAGTTTTATAAAGTTGTTTTTCCAAACAAGTTTTGAAAAGAAAAAGTATATAAAATATCTTTGGATAAATTTTCCAAATAAAACTGTATTTGTAAACAGAAAAACATAAAAATTTGTCTGCAAGAATTGTTCTTAAAGTCAACTTGAAGAATTACTACCTTCGATCCTAATTATAAGAGCTAGTTGACTAATTTGAGGAGGTTAAGAAAGAAGTTAAATTAGTTATTTGTCATAAATAGATGTTGTTTTTCCTAAAATATTCTTGTTAATCAAGTGTATCGGTTAAAATTACTATTACCAGAAAGACTGCCTTGAAGAAAAAAATGCATAAATATAGGAGACAAAATGGATTAGGGTCTTATATTTAGGACCAAAATAAAAGTTAAATAAGATCTTATATTAAGGATCGGAAGTAGTACTAAAAAGTAAGAGAAAGAGTAGAGAGTGGAACAACGACTAATAAAAAAATTGGAGGATTGAAATATACGTAGATGAATGCAAGGGATAAAGTGATAAGAGTGAACGTGAGTAGGGGTGGAAATAGGTTAGGCGGCCTGTCAGGGGCCTATGGCCTGGCCTGCATTTGGCCTGACCTGGCCTGGCCTGTTTCCCAAAAATAACAGGCTCAGGCCTGTTTGAAGGCCTGTTTAGTTAAATAGGCCAGGCTTAGGCTTTTTAAAAAGCCTGTTAAGCCTGTTACGCCGGCCTGGGCCTGTTAAGAATTTATAATTATAATATATAAAAAATTAATTAATGCTATTATTGTTAATGTGTTTTTTTAATTTATTTTTTAATTTTAATATATAGTTAATAGTTTAATCTTTTCTTAGATTTTGAAGTTTAGATGACAAGTGAAGATAAAAATATAATTTAAAATAATAATATTAATAAATAATGTGATTTTTAAATCTTAAAAATATATTAAAAAAAAAGGGAAAGAAAAATTTTGTTTCAAGAATGATAAATTAACTAACTTACGTATTATGTTAATTTAAGTATGATATCCTCTTTATTCATTATAAAACTATTATTTTTTTCCTCTTTATTTATTTGTCTTAATTTTAATTTTTTGTGTGTACTTAAATGTAGTCTTATTCCAAATTTTAACATATAATTACAATTAGTTTTCAATAACATTCTTATAAATTATAATTAAGATTTAAAATAGTACTTATGATACTAAAATTTAAATAAAAGACAAGACTAAAAATTTAATTATTATGTACATTTTTTTTAATCTTAGCTTTTTTTTAAAAATAATTATTATAATTTGAATTTTTTAAAAATACAGGCCTTTTAACAGGCTTCAGGCCAGGCCAGGCCTTTACACAGGCCAGGCTCAGGCTGAAAAATAAGCCTGTAATAGGCCACAGGCCAGGCTCAGGCCAATAGGCTCCAAAACAGGCCTGGCCTGTTTCCATCCTTAAACGTGAGTGAAACAGAAAATAAGAAAAATAACAAAATAGAAAACAATAAAATATCTAAAAATTAATGATTTTTTAAAAAAAAAACATATTTCAATTTTTTAAGAGAAAATGATTGATAAAGAGAGCTCGAGTTTACGATAGATTAAAAAAAACTTGAAGATCAAGTTTACTAGAAACGACAAAGCCCGAGTTTACTTTATTCTTTCATGTCTTTAGTGACTCTTCTAATGAATCAAGAGAGCTTATGTTTCGCTGGTCCAAAAAAAAAAAAAAAAAAAGAGAGCTTATGTTTCTATACCAAAACTCGTCATAAAATGTTTTCGCAAAAAAGTTAGTTAATTATTTTTTATATTTCAAAAATTAGAAAGTAATTTAGGCCTCTTTTTTTTTTTTTTTTTTTTTTTTCTATTTTAATGTTTTTAGAATAGTTTTATAAAATTGTTTTTCGAAACAAGTTTTCAAAATAAAAAATATATAAGAGGCTGTCAGCTAGAACTAAGAGGCAAGGTATTGAAAACTGGATGGTTAATGAACCGATTAAAATAATTGTTTAAGGGTTAGCATGGATTAAACCAAATCAACTCGGGGTTAGCCAGTCATTTAGAATAATATAATTTGATTAAAATATACAAAAATATCCATATATAATAATAAAAAGAGTAATATTTAAATAAAAATGTATCAAGTGTAAATAAAATATTTATATATAAATCACCTATAATTTAAAAAAAGACTTAACAAAGCACAAACATAATGGACTAATACTTTTTAAACTAAAAATGATGTCGTTTTAAGCTCAATAATAGGGAAAACAAAGATATATAAAATCTAATCTCGGTTAATTTGTCGAAAACTTTTAACCAGGCCGATTAGGGCTAGTTCATTAGTCTAACCTATCAAATTTGGTTGGGTTTTAATACGATGCTCTAACCAATATATTCCTATTTAAAAAAAGAACAAATTTGTCCTTTTTTTTTTAAAGAAAAAAAGAAGTCAATGTAATTAGATTAAAAATCGGTGAAAGACTCTGAAAATGCATGTGTATGAGAGGGAGAACGAATACAAATTACTTGACACTTAAATGAGATTGCCAGGAATACCAAAATGGTATTATTATCATCACCCTCTCCTGATAGAACCATGGCGTTGAGGTGTCCAATAGACCTTCTTTGTTAAAAGCAGCAGGTCTGTCTTTATTTTACTTTAGATAAAGTTACTTATTTGACTTGGTTGGATTTGATTTTTTTCCCCGTTTAATCGTTTAAATTATGAAAAAAAGCTATCTTAAATTCCAGCTGACTTTTCGAACACAAATTAAATATACTATGCCCAACTAAACTTTCAGATGCTTTTGTATAAAAAAAATGTTAAAAATTACATAAAATTCTTCAGGATTTAAACTACGTACGTACAAATAACCCTTTTCATTTTTAAAAACTTACTAGTGAAACCCATGAATTTTTAAGTGCGCACAAATATAACTACTAACCATCAATTATATACTACCTCTAGTCCTTAATATACAAGCTAGATTAACTTTTCATTTAGTCCTAAATATAAAATTCTAATCTACTTTGTCTTTCATATTTTTTTTTCAAAATAGTCATTGTAATAGTTGTATGTATTAAAAGTTTTATCACATAGTAGTTTTAATTAATACACATGATTAGTAAAGGTATTTCAGAAAAACAATACCTATTTATTAAAAATAATTAATTTAATTAATTTTTTTAATCTTCCTAAATTAGACAACTACTACGTCTTATCTTAAGCACCGAATGTAGTATACTGTAAATATTTTTTGCCTGTAATTCCTTTTCTTTTGTTGGTTTAATACAATTTAGACATATATCCACATACGCATTTTAACGCCAGATTTGAGTTTAGGATCTCATTGAAGCCTGGTGAAACTACTACCACTAAAGCAGCTTACTGTTAACATGCATATAATCCTCCCAATAAGCCTTATGTTATATATAACCCTCGAAAATTTGAACTATATGCATGTAATCAATAAACAAAGTTAGTAATAAAGGAGTTTTATATCTACATAAGTATATTTTGTCTTTGGCTCAATACATAAATATGAAATTTTAAGAGTGTTCATTATTGTACTATAAATTAGAGGGATTATTTATTCATGACATAAAGTTTAGAGGCTTAAACATATTTTGAGAAAAAAATTGATATGTCGCCCTAGGGTTGGCTAATGGGGTTCAATAATTACGCAAAAAGACAAAATGGGGGGACACTGCCACCCTGATTAATGGGTCTATAATTAATTAATTATTACTAGACCAAATGTTACGACTAATCAATTAGAAGGAATATAATTCAACGCTTTTTAATTGTCAACTCACATGCTTATGGTTACCACTTGCTACTAACTTCGTGGGCTCAAGCAATCACCATTTAGTTTAACTTAGTATTGATTGTTGGATCAGGGTTTAGTTGAATTAGAGTAAATAGGCTTACTATTGATTGT